TACATACATACATACATACATACATACATACATACATACATACATACATACATACATACATACATACATACATACATACATACATACATACATACATACATACATACATACATACATACATACAAACAAACAAACAAACAAACGTACATGCCAAAACTCCCATCTATGCTTTCATGTTTTTACATGCTCTAGTAACAATTGCAAATGGACGTATTATGATATCTGATTTCTTTAAAGAGACCTTTACTTGTGGAAGACCTCTAATAACAGAGCAACTACATTGTATATTTGCAATGTTCAGTTGTTCCATATTCCTACTCATTTTGACTACTACTCATCTACTTGACTTGATCTTTTTTTGCGTTTTTCGTTTTTTCACTCTTTCCCACCCAACAGACCGTATTTACCCATTCTTTTTTTGTCATCACTTAGTCACTGACAAGCCTCTGGTTATGACAGATTTTGGTTCGTAACCGAACCAACCAACGAACCAAAATATTTATGTATTTTTTAATACTACCTGACGTAGGTATAATTCTCAATTAGTTTTACGAAATGTAGTTCTTCATGGCTTATTAATCCTCAATTCCGGTATTAGAGCAGTCGTAGTTGACAGGACGTGGCGTAGTGACGGGTGTTAGAGAAGTTCATCACTCGCGAGCTGAAGCAGATTTGGATTCATTCAGAATTTCTGTGCCTAAAGACTATTTCCGACTATACTTACGGAAGGCGCAAGTTGCTTGTAAAGTTTTGCCATATGCCTGACCATCCGTTGTCTTCCAGACCAGCTGACTGTCACGGTCGCAGATCGCGCCATCCACTGGAGTAGACTGCCGGTGGATATAGGCATACATCTGACCTGCCGAACATGAATACCTGCAAATTTAAGAGGGTCTAAGCGTTTTCAAGCTTTTGTGTATAATTTATAAGGGGGAACTTTTTTTATGGAGAGAGTGACAGCTATTGACTATCTCGGGACCACGCACACGCCCATAGCACCCCACCCCTTTTCTCACGAACTAGGGGGCCCATCCCCTAGTCAGATTCTTACGAATGCTACGATTTTCATGCTTGGCCGTTCAGCCAAGTGTTTAGAGAATATCCGAAATGTGTTAAGCGGTAAGGGTACTCACGTCGAACACGATGCACCGTTTTTCGATCTTCTCAGGAGACTGAAGTCACAGATGTTGGATTCTTCGCAAGTCAGCTCAGCGGCAGAAGCACAATTGTCGCACACTGAATTCGACTGAATTTAGAGCTGTATTTTCCTTTTCCCAGCCGACCTGTCATCCCTCCTTTATAGGATGGAACAGTACGACCATCAACGCAACTCACCAGGATCGTCGCCAGGCATCTGAAAAAAGAATCCGGGTCATCAAACCACATACACAGTGTTTTTTTTNTTTTTTTTCATAATAGAAAAGAAATTGTTAATGACGGGAGGGTCGCGATTTTTTCCGCTAAGGATCAAAACTCTTAGATTACTTGATGATCTTTTCGATAAACCAATTCAGAGATGTGCAAACCAGTCTTCGTTATCCAAGGTAGTCAGATTCGTGATTCCAATCTGGGATTCTATCTAGGTAGGGGTCTGCCAGCCTATTCCAAGGGCTACTCAAGGGTATAGTGCTCGACAAAAATGACTCTGAAGATTTCTCTCTTCTCATTTCTCGAGACCAAGATATGCTTTTGAGAAGCTACAGAGGACATTATTGGGTTGAAATACGGGCTCAAAACCGAGCAAGAGCCTACATCCTGTCCAGCCAAGCGGTAGCAGTAAAAATATCCCTACCTCCCTACCGATCGCTTCCACTGACGAATTCCACACAAGTATCATTGGAATTCGAAGAAAAGGATTGAAACCGAAAGTGCTGTAAACCGTCTCAAAAGTATAGAGCAATTAGGGCTGATGGACACTAAACAACGTCCTCGTCAATGAATACTCCTAAAAGAAGATGTGATTCGCGGCCTCGTAGAGGCTGATGTCATTTAGAATGGAGCACGTTTGTTGCATATAAAGTTAAGCGGACAAGTTATTCTGCAGCGACCGAAAAAACCCAAAAAAAAAACTTTTTTTTTGCTTTCTCCACAACCTGGCCCATCGAATGAAATAATTAGTCTACAAAAGCCTTTGTATTTTGAGATTTTTGGGAGTTTTCTTGTTCTCTTCGATAATGATGAACTGTTCTGTAGCAGCACCTCTTCCCCATTACCCATAGGGTTCGTTGAATTGCGAACGAACTACGACTTTCATGCTTATGTTCACCCAATTGTCCTTCTTTGGGGTTCAGAACATTGATGTGCACCTTGGCTGATCCCCTGCAGGTGGGATACGCATGAGAAAACAATTACACTACAAATTAATATAAAAGTCGTGTGCATCTTGCAAAAAACTGTTGAATCGCAGCTTAGAGTTAGCTAAAAGTTGATCCCTCAAGAAAAAAAAAACGCTCACCTCTCCAGGTACAGTCTTCATACAGGCCTTTATGCCCGTAATCAGCATCATAGACCAGATCAGCAACTTCATTCTGCCTGCAGGATCTGCGGATGGGATGTCTTAAGCGTAAGAGCCGTAAGAGGTCATCAGGCGTTTATATAGGTATCGGAGCGTTCACGAGAGATTTTCCTTTGTTGAACTGGAACGCGGAACGAGGCGATTGGTGCTGTGGTGTTGCATCCATGAGCCACGATCACTTTCTCGCGACGATGGATTGCTTTGAACTTTGATTGTGATGCTAGCGTTCCCATACCACCCTATCCGTTATGCTTTCACGAGACACTGGGCGTTGGGCAGAGTCACTAGGATCACCCAGGCTTTTTTCATGAGTGAATCTCTCTTCCAGACTTCGAATATTTACTACTGACTGTAGGAGGACTAATGCGACTCTATGTGATAAGTGCCCTCAAACAGCCAAGTGAAGCTCAAAAGGAAAATTTTGACTTTTGGTCTTCCACAACACTTGCTGCTACTTATGCTACTGAATGTGGTTTACTACCTTTTCCCCATGGATGGCTGGAATGGAGCAGTTAAGTAGACTGAATGTCTAGTAGAATGAATGTCTGAATGAAGCAGTAGTCTTTTCAGTGAGGGATTGAAAGTGGTCTCAAGAACTAGCCTCTTCTCGCAGACCATCCCAACCGAGAGATACTTTCCAGCATTCGACTTCATTTCAGAATACTAGTGAGTCCCCGTACAAGCACTGAAATCGTACTTGGAAGCGATGAGAGACACTTTTGAATGTAAGCTTTTATTAGGTGTCACATATATTAGGGCATTTTATTACTAATAAATATTATAATCACAGAGCAATCAACCCGAAAATTTCATGTTAGAGAGAAGAGCACCTGAGCATGTAAAATTAAGAAGTGCAATCAAGTAGTGAAGTTCAACAGCTTTACTTAATCGATGAGGTAGAGGTAGTAAAGGCTTAAGGGACCATATTTCATCGAACAGGACTGTATAGGATCAAATGTGAGTGCCGCCTTTCCAAAAATAATAGTTGGGTGAGAGCTGAAGGGATTCACGATGCTATAGACAAGCTATATTAACCACTGGCAACTTGTCGGCAGTTTACTGTAACTCCTTGTGTAGGACGGCTGGTGTACGAACCACTTGTCCATCTCAGCAAACGATCGCATGTGAGAACATCAGTGATGAGATTCTGGCCGATTCTGAAATAGACTGGTTTTCCTGGTCAAGGAGAAAGCAACGAGGTTAATTTGGTCACCCACCTGTATCCTTGAGGGCATCCGCTCAACGTGTATTTTTTACACCAAGTTGTTGGATCGTACTCGAGTGTTATAGTTACTCCAGGACCAGCATTCACATTTCCACAGAACGTGCAAGCTAAACAGGTACCGTGTTACAGTAATTTGATGGTTCTGCTTTTGTGGAATGGGCAAAGGACACTTCATATTTACTCCTAGGAACCTCAGGAAAAGTGTCCCGAACTGGTCAACTCAATGGGGCAGCCCACTTTACCCACTAAGAATGCCTATGATATCCACATGTGCGGTGTATTCGGGAAAAAGTTGGTAAGCGACACGAGTTTCAACTGTATGGGATCGCCGTTACACTTGAGGCTGATGGCGAGTCAACTAGCTAATTATCGATCCACATGGGCGGGTTGAGCATAACGCCACAGCTTTATGACTTTGGAATCAATCAACGCCTTTTCTGCAGATTCTACAGGAAAAGGCGATGATTGATTTTTGATTTTACACTAGACCTTCCTGGTAGGGTTCCCTGTATGTATGAAAACTATCTCAAAAAAGGGTTTTAAGATAGTTTCCAAGGAGCAGTATTGTTGAAAGAACCGTGAGGAAATGTGGTTCTTGCATTTCCGAATTGAAAAGGTGAGACTTACTGAAGGCAATATAGCAAGCCTGTTCTCGAACAGTTGTCTCGACACCGTTGATTGTTGCCTTCCATTCGCCACCAACACATTTCATTTCCGTGTTTCGAGCTGCTGGTGGCTGTAGGGTGACGATGCCGTCGTCGGTGACTAGCCTGCAATTCATTTTAGCAAAAACGAAAAAGGCAGTTAACAATGTAACCGGCTTCCTTGACCAGATGGATTCCTTTACCCTTCCAATACCATTTCAGGGCGAAAGCCTGAGACGAATCCCAAAAAAGCGGCTTCCTCCTACCTGTACAGGTCGTTTTGTGTGCATTGTTGCGTCAATATCGAGCAGCCGTTGGCATCCGTTCCTAATGGATTTCCACGTGAATTTGGTTCCAGACGAGGAGCCGGGGAAATAGGCAGTGGAGGGCATGTGCAACCTGAAAGACGCAAAATAAACAAGGCAGGTACGCTCACGAGGGAAGGTGCTGATGATCTTTCAAACCCGAGAGAAAGTCGAACAACCGGAGCTACTCGGGCGTAACCGATAAATCATGGATTGAAAGATGCCTGACCTGTTTCACACTGAGCTTTCGTATAAACTGTCTGCTCTGCATCGACCCACTGAGCTAAGCCATTGCAGGACAGCGAGGTCACCGTTGTCCGTCCATCTCCAGCCGTCATGAGACCGGTGGCACAGGAAGCTGTTGGGCATTGTCCTGAATTCCGTAAGTATCAGTGCCGTTATGTTTTCAGTAATGTGTGCTATAGATAGTAACATACCATCGTTGTTGATCGTTACAGGCGTGCAGACGAAACCCGGAAGGCATGTCATACCAGTGTTCGTCAGAGCAGGGCATTGATCGCAAGCTGAAAAGGCCAGTGTGGGCATTATAAGCTGGCTGGGAAGAGTTTTGAGTGTAAACGTACGTGTTTCGCATTGAGCTAGTGTATATGCGACGTCCTGGGTATCAATCCATTCAGCATCTGCGTTGCAAGTCAAAAGCGTCAAAGGAGTGCGCTCAGTATTTCCTGTCAGACTGCCAGTTTCACAGAATATTTCTGAGCATTGCCCTGCAATGAATTGCATTTACCCGGATATCGAGCTCAGTTTATAGTAGGCGGAAGCGCTACAGCCTTTGAACAAACGCTACCTACATCTACAAGTCGTCCAAAAATGTAATTCTTACCTTCACGGGTCGTAGCCACTTCACAGATAAAACCTTTTGGGCAATCCATCCCGGTGTTTGTGAGCGCAGTACACTCAGTGCATGCTGAAAAGAATTCCGTTCAGAGGAATATTCCAGAACGATTTAAAACTAAATGGCTTCTTGGACTGAGACATGCATCTGATACCATTTGTAGAGACAACCATATTAGGGAATGTCTAACTAGACAGGTCATTTTTTGGTTGAAAGTTAGTTACATTCCTCTACCTTGCGGGACGAAAGAAGTCCGATAAACTGAGGCCTAGCAAAGGTATAAGCTCAAATTAAGGTAGTAAAACGGCAATTTCTGTGGAAATATGGGATTGAGTTTTTTAATCGGAACAACTTTTAAAACTGCAGGATGTAAAAAGTATCCCTCTTGATTTTCTTCAAACTGAATTCTATTCGGGATAGTAGACTAAGTCGTGAACTCCTTTTTGGCCGATTTGCGCCGTCTTTCGGGTGTATGAAAACGTTATTTTGGGGTAATGTATAATCTAAGCTTCAGGTGGCCTCTTAAACCCTTTTGAATGGGGGGAGGGGGCAGGCGGGAGGAGAGCGGTAGCATGAAGATTCGATAAGACAAGGAAAAGCCTAGAAGGATCGTGATCATGGAAATCTTTTCCCTACTCCACTTTGTCCCTGCCCTGCTGGGTGGAAGTCAAGAGAGTGCCTCATGTACTCGATTTCTAGTTCATGTTAGAAGACTCACGCAATTCGCATTGAGCTGCTGTGAAAACCGTCTCCTGGTCGTCTACCCATTGGGCTGATCCATCACAGGTCAGGGAATCCACTTCGACGTTTCCGGGATTTGCCTTCATNCCCTTTTGAATGGGGAGGGGGGGGGGCAGGCGGGAGGAGAGCAGTGACATGAAGATTCGATAAGACAAGGAAAAGCCTAGAAGGATCGTGGTCATGGAACCCTTTTCCCTACTCCACTTTGTCCCTGCCCTAATGGGTGGAAGTCAAGAGAGCACCTCATGAATTCGATTTCTAGTTTCAAGTTAGAAGACTCACGCAATTCGCATTGAGCTGCAGTGAAAACAGTCTCCTGGTCGTCTACCCATTGGGCTGATCCATCACAGGTCAGGGAATCCACTTCGACGTTTCCGGGATTTGCCTTCATCGTCCCGGTAGTGCATGCCACGTTTGGACACTGTCCTGAAATCAAAAAAGGAACACTTCCGAATTCTCTGGAAGGCGTTAACCCTGAATAAGCCCTTAAAACTACGCTGTTACACTCGAGACTTAATAACTGTCTAGCAGCCCACTCTAAACCTATAGATGTCGGAAGAATGTCTCATTTGAACTTTTTTACAGTCCTACTTGTTGTTTTTACACAATTGACTGATTGTAATTTTGCTAACTTGTTCTTGTAATGACCAACCTGCCTGTAAGGTTACCTCCTCACAAACAAATCCTGTCGGGCATGTCATACCGTTGTTTGTTAGCGCACTACACTGATCGCATCCTGAAAAATTACGGTCAAAGGTAGTCTGATGGGATGCGCATTGCTATTCCAATGGCTTCTGGTGGTTTTCAGGGAGCAAAATTACGATCCACCCATACTTGCTTACTGTCATGTTGCTGAAGTCATAGCCTAACCGGATGGTTTACTGAGAGAATCACATCTTCGAAATCAACTGAACAGCCTTTCAAGAAGAGGGGTGAAAAGATGAGAGAACTTAGTAGCATAACAGGTAAGGGCGGTGCCCCGAAAACACAGGGACGGGTTCGAATTCCATTAGGAGGGAGGCTTCCGCCCTCAGATTAGTGTCCTTATGGTAACTTAAATGACCAGTTTCATAGCAAGTCGCCAGCTCAAGGGTGTATGGTCAAGCTGAGGTCAATTGCAGCTACAAAGACAACTTACGTATTTCACACTGTGCGCTTGTGTAAACAGTGTCCAACCCATCAATCCACACACTGCCTCCACTGCATGTTAAAGATGTCAGCCCTGTTCGTTCTGTATTTCCAGTCATATCACCTTCAGGGCAGTACATTTCTTTACATGTTCCTGAAATTGCATTGAGTGTTCAGAGAGCATTGCACAACCGCCAGAGGCGCTACATTCTATTCATAACCTTCGCAGGACCGAATACATAAATGTCAAGCTTTTCGGGCTAGCTGAAGAGTCAACTCCTCGAGAATTCCAAGGCTAGAAGGAGTTCTGATTTCACTAACCTTCTCTTTCCGTTGCAGGCTCACAAATCAGACCAGTAGGACATGGCATGCCGTCGCTCGTGAGAGCCGTACACAGGTCACAGGCTGAAAACAACGCGGAAAATTCGAAATTAAAACAGAGCCTATATTGAAGGCATAACAAATGAAATCAGACGGCATTGAACTCACATAATTCACATTGTGCCGCTGTATATACTGTACCGGCAGCATCCACCCATTGTCCTTGAGTATTGCACTTTAAAGTGTCAACCACTACTCCATCAGCAGTCATAATGCCAGCCGGGCAGTAAGCTTCAGGGCACTGACCTGTAGATGGAAGAAATGCGTTTAAGCTGCCATGCTTTAAGCAGGAAATGGAAATTTGCTGAGAAATATCGTACCTGCACGCTGAGATACTGTAGTACAAGTGTGTCCAGTGGGACATGTAAGGCCGGTGTTGGTTAGCTTGGTGCATGCATTGCAGGCTTGAAAAAAATTCTGTTTACGAATGCATCCGGTCAAAATGGCGTTTATACTTACGTAGTCCACAAGCGACTTGTGTGACAGTCGTTGTGGCGACAACGAAATCACCATCTCGACATGTGGCTTTCTCAAGTTTTTGACCGGAATTGAACATCTGACCAACAGTACATGTGACTGAAGTACAACCACGCGAATCTACCGAGTACGTGAGTGGCCTATAAAGATATGGAATCAACCACGCATTGTTAATATCTGGAGGACAATGATGCCCTCAGATAAATTGGATTGCTGAAGTTACGAAAGCAGTAGGGATGCTTAGCCTCATTACCGCACAGAATGGGCCACGGCTGAATTCACAGCATAAGAATATGGTAGCGAATCACTGCGAGTTCGGGGAGAAGTACCGTCACCAGTGAAGCACAGGCCCGCTATTCCATAAGCCTCAATATCGGTCTAGGCAGTGCTGGTGCACGCGCGTGGTGTAAAGGAACTAGTCAGGGAATCGTTTACAACGATGCCGCTACTACTGAAGCCCTTTTTGTGCATTCGGAAATATTTTGGGAAACCACGTATGACAAGAAAACATACTCTTCAATTCCGGTATTAGAGCAGTCGTAGTTGACAGGACATGGCGTAGTGACGGGTGTTATAGAAGTNCCAGTGAAGCACAGGCCCGCTATTCCATAAGCCTCAATATCGGTCTAGGCAGTGCTGGTGCACGCGCGTGGTGTAAAAGAACTAGTCAGGGAATCGTTTACAACAATGGCTACTACTTTTTGTGCATTCGAGAATATTTTGGGAAACCACGTATGGCAAGAAAACATACTCTTCAATTCCGGTATTAGAGCAGTCGTAGTTGACAGGACATGGCGTAGTGACGGGTGTTAGAGAAGTGCATGTCGTGCAAGCTGAAGCAGATTTGGATTTATTCAAAATTTCTATGCCTAAAAACTATTTTCGACTATACTTACGGAAGGCGCAAGTGGCTTGTAAAGTTTTGCCATACGTCTGGCCATCAATTGTCTTCCAGACCAGCTGACTATCGCGGTCGCAGACCGCGCCATCCACTTGAGTAGACTGCAGGTTGACATAGGCATACATCTGACCTTCCGAACATGAATACCTGCAAGACGGTCTCAGCGATTACAAGCTTTCTGGAAAACTTTCAAGGAAGAACTCATTTTATGTAGAGAGTGACAGCTATTGACTATCTCGGGACCACGCACACGCACATAGCACACTACCCCTTTTCTCACGAACTAGGGGCCCATCCCCTGTTCAGATTCTTACCGAATGCTACGATTTTCATGCTTGGCCGTTCAGCCAAGTGTTTAGAGAATATCCGAAATGTGTTAAGCGGTAAGGGTACTCACGTCGAACACGATGCACCGTTTTTCAATTTTTTCAGGCGACTGAAGTCACAGACGTTGGATTGTGGGCAGGTTAGAGCAACGGCAGAAGCACAATTGTCGCACACTGAATTCGATTAAATTTAGAGCTGTATTTCCCTTTCCCTAGCCGACCTGTCATCCCTCCTTCACAGGATGGAAAAGCCCGATCATCAATGTAACTCACCAGGATCGTCGCCAGGCATCTGAAAAACGAAATCTCAACAACCGGGATATCGGAACATCTCATCAACCTTTTTTTGCCATAAAAAAGGTTTATGCTGTAGGAACTTCGATTTTTTTTCTTTGCCCAGAGTCATACTTTGGTTAATTACTTGTCGGCTTCAACGATAGCCCTTCAGCGGCTGTGCAATCCAGTGTCATTACCCAATGTGGCAGAAGTAGTTGGCAGAAGTAGCTCATTCAGTTGGTTCTTAAGGTCATATCTGGGATCCAATTCAGGTTGTGGGAGTGCCAATCAATCTCCCAGGTTACTTGAAGACACAGTGAGCGGCAGAAATAATTTTGAAATTTTTTTTTGGACTATGTGATACTTGAGAAGCTACATAGGATATTGTCGGGTAAAAAATTGGCTAGAAAGGGCACAGCAAGGGATGATAGAGGGTATGCGACGTCTCACCATCGATTACCCTAAAAAAGGACGTGATTAGCTGTTCTGCAGAGGGTGATAACATTCAAAACAGAGCACATTTGTTGTATTTACAGCCAGCTGCGCTAACAGCTTTTCTTCACACTTCGTCCATCGATTGAAGTGATTAGTCTAGCAGAGCCTTCGTATTTTGGGATTTCTCGACGTTTTCTCGTTTTCTTTGACACTGATGATGTTCTGAGTAGCACCTCCTCCCAATTACCCTACACGGGTTTGTTGAATGCGAACACTTTCATCAATCATTAAAAATCTCTGATCCGTTGCAAAGGTGTATCTGATAAGCAATTATCTCTCACTTTCACTGCGTCGCAAGATTCATTGTGCTAGAGAATGTTCAGGTGATTTATAGACACTAAACAGTCTTCTCGTCACTGATCTCCAAGAGAAATCGCTAATCGCCGGAATGAAAGCGAAACCTTTCTCAATTTCACTGATAAGAACTTTGGAGCCAAAAGGCCAAAAGATTTATCGAAACCGGACGAGAGCCTACTTCTTGTTCAGTCCATTGTTGGTGGTAAGGATTTCCCTACCAAGTACGGACCACTTCCACCAACGAATTTCACCAAAGTATTATTGGAATTCGAAGACGTGGGTTGAAACCAAAAGTTTTGTTAACCGGGTCGAAAGAAGTTCAATTAGTTGACGTCAACCAAAATCGCTCAAGTGAGGAGAAAAGGCAGAAGTGTTGTTCACAACATTCTGAGTGGCTGAGTGGCTCGAGGGATCTCAGCTTGGTCCAAAGTATTGCTACTACTGCAGTCTGACACCAGGATAGCACGGTATAAATATACTACAAGTCATGAATGAATGAAAGCTACGTCAAAGGAGAGAATGGTGGGGATCCCCATCTGGATGCCTTTCAATAATTAATGAAGGATAGAGTTTTCTGGCGTCAATCAATCCTGTCTGAGAAATGCGAATCTTCCCTCTCATCCGACTTTCATTCAAAATGGTAGTAGCGTATTGAATGCAATGAATGAATTTGCAATGAATTACGGTGGACAGCCGG